AGGAATGGAAGATGCACTTTCAGACCTCTCTCCATGAGCAGTTCCATTTTTATTCACCTCTCCCATTCATCATAGGAGGGTCAAAGCCACTTGGCATTTCACAGGCTGGGACCTAGAGTAAATAAATACAGCATTCTCAGGGACAGGACAAAAGGCAAAGTTCAGATCTGGACCAGAACCTTCCTAACGATTTGGGCCTTATTTGCAGTAATCTCTAAGGTACTGTTGAAATTCAGCAGAGACCTTTGTCATCTTTGCTACAACACTGCTAGTCAACTCATTATCAACGATGTGGGGTAAGAGCGTGTGAGATTACGGACACAAAAATTACTGAACTTCTTCACTTTGCTCCAGTCATTCCCTCTTGCCTGATGAAGACGACAATCCAATTGTTCTATACTGAAGATTAAAACCCAATGTTTTATGGATAAAAGGAAGAGGAATGTGCATTCCACTACGGTCTCTAACTCCCAGGCCCTTCCCTTTCACAAGCCAACTGCTTCCCCCCAGTGAGTATTTCCTGGGTCATGAAGGGTGACCCTTTCCATCTGGAATCAATCAGTCAACTCCTGACAACTTCCTGAAACACCTCACTCCATTTCCTGTTCTCTCCCCCTTCCCTCTTTCCCCCTGGTTTGCTTCACTCTTCAAAACTGCAGGCCACAGCAGCTTAATGTTAGAGGGTCAGACACAGTTAGACTCCAAAACACTACACAAGAACACCTTTGACCTTCAAAAATCTTTACATCTTAGCTAAACAAATCAAGGTCAACATTTCTTACCATTACCTTGTTAACCATTTATATGCATTTTTGCCAATACCCTTCTGAACACATATTTATCAATAACACTTGTTCTCCTAACATCGTAAAACATTGCAGGCCTTTTTTTTTTTTTTTTTTAAACCTGTATTTAATGCTGATGAAAGGTGATGTGCAAACTTCCCTGGAGATTTAAATTCTCAGATTTGTCCACAGCACTGGCAAATTACTGGCAAACAGTTTTGGTGCGTTTTTCTTTTCCTGATCTGATGGCACTACTTCTTGTGTATGATAATTTGGCTTCTGTGCCTATTCAGTTGATGGTCTTTTAGCTAAAATCAGTAGTTAATGTAAAACATAATCCTATGGGAATGATCTGAGAACATCAAAATATGTCAGGCAGGCCACGGATTCTGGTAATTGTAGCTTAGGGCCAAATTTGACACAGACAGCATAAAGACTAAAGATTTTGTGCCGCTCAACAGCTGGATCAACTCGCAACCTCTGTTGGAGTTTCAGAGGACAACCGAACAAGCAAGAGAGAGACAGGGCAACGTGTTATTCCTTCATCCGTCCAAATGAGGGTTCCATCTCTAGGAACAGTGAGGGAGTTACAGGCTTCTAAGCGCTGTTTTGGGCAGTTCTTAAGATTCTCTCTGCAAATCTGCAAGGGTCTTGTTATTAGCTGTGAACCCACAGACATAAACCAATGACTCCCCAGCAGTACTGAAGAAATGCATGTGCTGTATCTCCACGTTATTTTTGTTTCCTGGGTATATTTCTGTAATGCAATCCCTGCTCAAAAACCACAATGAGGGTTCCCCTACCATGGCATTCAGTCAAACTGTCTTCAGCATGTTAAACTCAGCTTCTCTGAGCCGCACTGCCCCTCTTTCACTTCCATGCACAGTACGAAGTGTTGTACTTCTTTACAAACCCTTCCCTGGGTACTACCATCTTTCCTACCCCATCTACACATTAGATCAGTATTTCTAAAGTATGCTTCTCTTCAAATCACATATATACAAGTAAATACACATCATCATGTATATAAAAGCTGTATCAGTCACAGACACCTATTTAGACATATGGTACAAACATTCCAGGCATACAGGCATTTACTTACATGTAACATATCTCATCACTGTGTAAATGATCTCTCTCAAAAAATTCCTGTTACCATTCCAAGTGTGGAAAAAATTCTTTATGACATTGTACATCTGGAAACAATATTACATTCCTGATGCACTTTCCCTTATAACTCTCTGGTCACAGCACCATGTTATTTTAACTTTTCAAAAGAATAACTACTATGAGGATTTAAAAAATTATCATCATTATTATTATTTTCCAGCTGGGTGGAAGAAAAGATGTCAGGCCTCATCCTGCTTTCTTCACTTGGACAGGGCTCCCATTGATGTCAACAGGCGTTTTGGTTGAGCGAGTAATACAGGAGTAGATGCTAGAATATAATGTGTTGGCTTCATATTTGGATTAGGAAGAAGATAAACAATGTGAAAAATGCCAGCAGCGTGTCTCTGCTCAAAACTTCCATTGAATTCTTTGGGAAATCCTCCCTGAGACCCTGAGCCTGCTGCAAACTCTAGGCTAACAGATAAAGCTATGCACATGGCCTTTGTTTCAGGAATGGGGCCTCCTCAGATTATAGGGGCACAGACGTAGGAGATAACTCCTGGGTCGCTGACATCTAGTCTCTTGCTATTACAGACAACCAAAGCATGTAGCTACTTTTATAAAATTGTCTTCAACTAGTTCAAGCTTTTGCCTTTGGTACTCCTCTTGTTTTAAAGCCTGCTTGTCCTGATTTGTTAGGGAATTTATTCCTAGTCAGTTTATAGTTAAGACTAGCTTTAAAATTATTATTATTATTATTACTGTTATTATTATTTCCCATTCTGATGTACCTTAGGTTATTTTTAGACAGCAGTTATGTCCCTTCTCAGGGCATGTCACTGAAGTATTTGAGCCAAGCTCTTGTCTACTCCCCAGTCAGCTTAATGACCCATTCCTGCACCTGTTCCAATTTAGTTTTCATTCTCTTTTGAAGATGGTTAAACCAGTATATTGTATTTCAAACAAGAAATCAGTAGGGTACAATCGTACAAATGCATCCTTCCTTCTACTGGAAAAGCTTACCTGAGACATAGTGGAATCTCATCTGTGGTTTGTTTCTAATAGACAATACACAACTCTGGCAACTCACTGTCACAATGGCCATCTGGTCTTCAGATCTGAGCACATTAAGCTCCTTGAATGTGTTTTTTTTTCCTTTGGCAGTTGCAGTCAGTCCCTCCCTTACTCTTATAGAATCTAAGATAACATCACCTTTTGTTGGGTCAGTCACTGATGAAGAAATCTGCCACCCAGTAATAGCTCTGGACTCTGCTGATACCAGTTGCATTTGTTTCACAATTTGGCCCAGGAAATTAGTCTCCCATAATGACATTCATCTCTCTAACAACAGTTCAACGATCTCTA